TCGCGGCGCTCGAGCCGTCGGCGGCCCAGTGGGGGTCTGCTCGCTGGTCCTTTCGTGGATGGAACTCGGCGGCGGAGGATGATGAGTGCGAGCTTTTGCTGGTGCTCCGCGGGCGCAAGGGGCGGGCGCGGGCTGCGGGCGCGCGCCGGTCGCGCGCCATAATTAATGTACATTCGGAGAGATATCTCCCCCGCAGGGTTTGGATCTCGGAGAAGAGCGAGAACCTTGAGATCGGAGCGACAGCTCCGCTGCAGCGGCAGATCGACCCGCGCTCGGTCGACAAATTCCCCGCGGGGCCCCTCGCGGAGGAGGCGCGGGCCATCGATTCTGGGCACCCTCGTCTCACGCTCGGGCCGGGCGACCCGGCGTTCCGCGCGAAAGTCGGCCAGAGGGAAAGGGGGCGGACAAGGGCGTCTGATGTGAGAGCGCGTCAGATTTGCGCCTGCGTGCGTCGTCATATTTCTTCCCAGCCATTCTGTGGTGTTGGGTCCTCGTTTTGAAAAGACAGCGCCCTGCGTCCTCCTCCTTCCCCCCCCCTCCCCCTCCTCCCATTCCTCCTTGTCCTCCTTCCGCCATCGCCGTTCTTTCGGCGCGCCCCTCGCGCGCTTCGTTGCCCCGTGGGAGCTTCGCCGAAGGCCCCGGCGGCGCAGTTCGCGCGCGCCCCCACCATTCATTTCGGCGCGCCCTGCCCGCGTTTCGCAGCCCCAAAGGACCGCGGGAGCTCCGCCGAAGGTCCCAATGCCGCAGTTCGCATGCGTCCCCGCCGTTCATTTCGGCGCACCACTCACGCGTTTCGTGTCCCCCATGGGAGCTCCGCCGAAGCAGTGGCGAATTTCGCGTGCGCCCCCGCCATTCAGTTCGGCGCGCCTCTCGTGCGTTTCGTGGCCCCATAGGATCTCCGCCGAAGGTCCCAGTGGCGCATTTTGCACGCGTCCCCGCCGTTCATTTCGGTGCGCCAGTCGCGCGTTTCGTGGCCCCCGTAGGAGCTCCGCCGAAGGTCCCAGTGGCGCACTTCGAGTGCGTTCAGGCCATTCATTTCGGCGCGCCCCTCGCGCGTTTCGTGGCCCCATGGGAGCTCCGCCGAAGGTCCGTCCGCATGCGTCCCTGCTGGTCCTTTTGGCACATGCAGGCTGAGGCTGAGGCAGGCTGAGGCTGAGGCCGAGGCTGAAGACAGACTGAGGCTGAGGCCGAAGCAGGCTGAGGCTGAGGCTGAGGCAGGCTGAGGCTGAGGCAGGCTGAGGCTGAGGCTGAGGCAGGCTGAGGCTGAGGCTGTGTCTGCGACTGCCGTTGCCACTGCGACTGTCATCGCGAATGCGACTAGGACTGCGAGGACAGCAGAATTCTACAACAGCAGAATTCTACAATCTGAAGGGGAATGCTTCCAGATATGCTCCTACACATCGCTGTTAGGTTGCTTTGCCGGGATAATTAAAACAATTTTACCCCAAAAACAAACATCATTTTTCATTGGGCTTTCAAGCCAAATCCATTCCCACGGGGCGGAAGTTTCCACGGGCGGGAAATCCGACATCCAGGCGGCCTGGAATCCCGACCGCCCCAAAACAGCATACTTTTGTCATTATCAAAGTTCAAAAAACAAAAAATAGCCTGGCGAAGAACCCGACCATATGCAGTTGTCAGTGCCGCGGCTGCGGGTTTCATCTTCAGTGGAACTTCCCATAGGACTACGGAACGTGTGAGGGGTGTGTCGAGATGGGTGCCACTGGGGCATTCGGCGAAGCTCCCTATGGGGACATAAAACACGCGCGGGGCGTGTCGACATGGGTGGCGAAAACGCATGTGAGGGCCGCCACTGGGGCCTCCAGTGGAGCTCCCTATGGGTCCCCGAAACATGATGCTGCTGCGGGGGGGGTGCCAGGATGGGTGGCGGAAACGCATGTAAGCGCCGCTACTGGGGCCTTCGGTGGAGCTCCCTATGGGGCCACGAAGCGCGTGAGGGGTGTACTGGGATGTGTGGCGGGGACGCATGTGAGCGCCGCCACTGGGGCCTTCGGTGCAGCTCCCTATGGGGACACGAAGCGTGTGAGGGGTGTGCCGAATTGGGTGCGGGTGGTGACGCATGCGGGCGGTGCCACTGGGGCCTTCGGTGGAGCTCCCTATGGGGCCACGAAGCCTGTTGTTGTGAGGGGCGTGCCGGGATGGGTGGCGGGGGCGCATGTGAGGGCGGCCGCTGGGGCCTTCGGTGGAGCTCCCTATGGGGCCGCGAAACGTGTGAGGGGTGTGCCGAATTGGGTGGGTGTGGGTGACGCATGTGAACGCCGCCACTGGGGCCTCCTGTAGATGATGGGGCCACAGAACCTGTGAAGGATGTGCCGAAATGGGTGTGCGGGACGCATGCGCATGTGAGCGCCGCCGCTGGGTCCTTCGGTGGGGCTCCCTATGGGGCCACGAAACGTGTGAGGGGTGTGCCGAATTGGGTGTGCGGGACGCATGCGGGCGGCAGCACTGGGGCCTTCGGTGGGGCTCCCTATGGGGCCACGAAACGTGTGAGGGGTGTGCCGAATTGGGTGTGCGGGCATGCGGGCGGCAGCACTGGGGCCTTCGGTGGGGCGGCACGCACTGGGGCGCTTCGGGTGGGGGGATATGGGGCCACGAAACGTGTGAGGGGTGTGCCGAATTGGGTGTGCGGGACGCATGCGGGCGGCAGCACTGGGGCCTTCGGGGGCTCCCTATGGGGCCACGAAACGTGTGAGGGTGTGCCGAAACGCATGCGGGGGCAGGGGCCTTGTGGGGCCACGAACGTGTGAGGGGTGTGCCGAAATGGGTGTGCGGGACGCATGCGGGCGGCAGCACTGGGGCCTTCGGTGGAGCTCCCTATGGGGCCACGAAACGTGTGAGGGGTGTGCCGAATTGGGTGTGCGGGACGCATGCGGGCGGCAGCACTGGGGCCTTCGGTGGGGCTCCCTATGGGGCCACGAAACGTGTGAGGGGTGTGCCGAATTGGGTGTGCGGGACGCATGCGGGCGGCAGCACTGGGGCCTTCGGTGGGGCTCCTATGGGGCCACCGTGTGAGGGGTGTGCGGGACGCATGCGGGCGGCAGCACTTGGGCCTTCGGTGGGGCTCCCTATGGGGCCACGAAACGTGTGAGGGGTGTGCCGAATTGGGTGTGCGGGACGCATGCGGACGGCAGCACTGGGGCCTTCGGTGGGGCTCCCTATGGGGCCACGAAGCGTGTGAGGGGTGTGCGGGCGGCAGCACCGGGGCCTTCGGTGGGGCTCCCTATGGGGCCACGAAACGTGTGAGGGGTGTGCCGACATGGGGGATGATGACGATGATGATGGTGGGACGAGGGAGGAGGGAGGAGGGGGAGGAGGAGCGGGAGCGGGAGCGGGAGCGGGCGCTGTCTCTTCAAAGCGAGGACCCATCACCACAGGATGGTTGGGGGAAACAAATAATAGAAGAGTCTGAAAAATCCCTGCCAACATTCAACCTTTTCTAAAGTCTCAGACTTCCCAAACTTCACAGAATTTCAAGAGGGCGGGAAATCCGAAACCCAGGAGACCAGGAAACCCAAACATTCCAAACCACCATAATTCTGACCATCTTTTACAACATCAGAACTCTCATACTTTCAAACCGTTTGAGAATTTCCAAACCTATCGGATTTCATAGTTTTCAAACTTTTGAGGGGCCAGGGTATCCGAAACCAAGGCAGTCAGGAATCCCGAAAACCACAAGAGGATAATGGCCATGAGGAGGGGGGGGAGAGATGAGGCAGACGAGGAGGAGGATGAGGAGGAAAGGGGGAGAGGAGGGAAGAGGGGTATGGTGTTGGATACTGGTATCCCCTCCTGGTCGATCGTTCCCTTCCCCCGGCTCGACCTTGTTCCCACCCCTTGTCTGGTATGTGGTTGCGGTCGTAGGAGGATGAGGAGGAAGGGGGGGAGTATGACAGAGGAGTGGGACGGAGGAGGAAACGTCACATGAAGAGGACGGGGGAGGGTCGTTCGAACCCTCAAGATGCTATCCCTCATGGTTGCCCATTCCCGTCCTCTCCCTCTCTCCCTCCCTCCCTCCACCTTGCCTCCTCTTCCCTTTCCCCCCGCCTCCTCATGCCTCCCTCCTCCTTCTCTTCTTCTCCCCCTTCCCTGTCCGCTCCTCCTCTACAGTTACACAATCTGAATACTATTTTCCTTTCTCCCCTGATGACGTCCGGAAGATATCTGTTCCCACTCTGCAGACTGTTTTTTACACAGGATTCCCGGGAACTGGGTTTTCGCTTGGGTTTGTTTTATTTGTTAAATATTGTTCCCGCTGATGCGTTGGCTTCATTTTCGGGCTTCCGCTCGTTCCGAAATGTGCTCCTGCTGCAGCGCTGGCCTCATTTCGGCGCTTCCGCTCGTTCCGAATCGTGCCTCCGTTGCAGCGCGGGTGTTCCTTCCAAATAGGCCCCCCAAATCTAGAAAATGCCACCCCGAAAAAAAACATCGGAAGTGATTACACATTCGGTGTCGATTCGTTGCCACTTTGGGGCGTCGTCTTTTTCAGGAGGTATCAAGCGGAATCCTCGTGTCTGCTTTGAAAAGGCGATGTTGAAAGCAGAGCCAGCGGGTGCTCTCCATCAACCCCGCCGTGTGTGGAGCTTTTCGGGGAGCCCAAGGAGCTATACATAGAGCCACGACTCCAGACAAGCCCAGACCTCTCGAAGACGATCCACTTACCCTCCAAAGAACCTGGCGCCATGCCATGACATGCTGTGCGGTGTTGTGTTCTCCGCCGCTGTGCGATGCCATGCTTTGTGTTGCAATGCTTTGTGATGCAATGCTTCACTGCGCAATGCCACGCCGTGCTATGGCATACTACGGTCTGCCATGCTCTCCTACGCCATGCCATGCCGTGCTCTGCCATGCATCGCGTACCCTCTCGCGATCATTGCCCTGCTCGACGTCCGAGTGTGCGAAGTGTGAGGGGAGATCTACGCCTTGGTAAGGGATGGGTGGGAGGGGTACGACGTCAGATATGACGCGAGCGTGCCTAGCATGTCCCTCCCCCTCCGTCGCCTCCCCCCCTCCCCCTTTGTTTTCCTGTCCCCCCCGCTTGCGTGCCATGCCTCGCACGGCGGCGCCCGCCAGCGGGCGACCGACCTGGCACGCGCGCAAAAGAAGCTTGGCGAGGATTTGTCGTTGTCGGCGTTCGATCGAGGATAGACCTCTCGAGGTTTGGGAATCAGTGCGAGATGGGAGGAGGAGGAGGAGGAGGAGGAGGAGGAGGAGGAGGAGGAGGAAGAGGGGAGGAGGAAGAGGAGGAGGAGGAGGAGGAGGAGGAGGAGGAGGGAGGAGGAGGAGGGGGGGAGGGGGAGGAGGAGGAGGAGGAGGAGCAGAAGGAACAGCAGGGAGGGAGGAGGAGGAGCATGAGGAGGAGGAGGCGGAGGAGGAGGAGGACGAGGAGGAGGAGGAGGAGGACGAGGATGCGGACGAGAACGAAAACGAGAAGGAGGAGGAGAAGGAGGAGGAGGAGGAAGAGGGTCGGGCAGAGCAGGAGTAGAGATCGATGTTCGAGCAGATGTTGACTCGATTTTCGATCGAGCAATCGAGACCAAATCGTTCGTTGGGATCGAGGCTGCTTCGTACGAGGTTCGAAGCTCGCTGATCGAGTATCCATGTAGTCGGGCCTCGGAGAGAACTCAACATTGGAGATGTCTAATTTTGAAGGGGATTGTCGTCGTCGCTGTGGCCGTCGTCGCCGTCGCCGCCGCCAGAGCCGCTACCGTCGCCGCCTCCCCCGCCGCCGCCGCCGCCGCCGCCGTCGTCGTCGTCGTCGTCGTCGTCGTCGTCGTCGTCGTCGTCGTCGTCGTCGTCGTCAACGTCGTCGCCGTAGTCGTGAATGTCGCCGTCGAGGTTTCAGAGAACTCGCAGAAACGGCAACGGGAGTCGTCCTAGACTTCGACCCTCTGGAGACCCGCTTCGTTCCACCGGGCAGCTAGAAGTCGATCCAGGATGCCCAGCGGGCCATGATCAAAATCCCGGCGTCTCGAAAAATTTTGGGCTGTAGTTTTCGAAGGCCTCTGGAGGCTGGTTTCGGGCCCCAAGACTGGAAATTACATTGGCGCTAAGAAAGTTTTGACCCCGTTTCGTGTTTCCCAGGCGGGAGCGCCATTGCGAACTCGAGCTGAAGAAGTGCCGACCTATTTTCGAGGAAGTCCTGGCCGGGAGCGATATTTTGAAATCGAGCCAGAAGGGTATCGAATTTTAGACGCTTCGCGTGACCTTATCCATCGTAATCCTGGTTGTCAGCATCAGGCGTGTGGCCGATCCGTTCAGGTTTTCGGTGTCGATCCCTTCCATCGTTCTCCTGGCTGGCTCTTCCTCTCGTTCTCGGAGAGGGGGTTGCCTCGGATCTTTCTCTCAGGAGTGAGTGTGCGACTTCGGTGGCGCCGCTCGTACTGGTTCCTGGTCAGTGACGTATTCCTGGCCATCGGTGTTAGTATTACCTCCTGGAGTGTTTTGCAAGCGAGCTGCCCCCTTCAGGGGCTGGATGCGTGGGTATCTCGTGTGGTTTATCCTACGTCATGTCCTACATGCCCTCAACGGTCACTTGTCAGCTTCGATGCTGTGACCTTGCCGCGCCATTTTGGCTGCGTGCAGCTCCTTGGTTCAATTGGTGCATCGGCACTGCCCCCGGGCCCTGGTCCTGGTTGCAGTTTGCATCGCGTGTCGGCAGGTTTCGGGCTGTCCCGCTTCCCGGCACCACCTCGCGCAGCCCGGCAACTGAGGCAGCTTAGGCAGCTTAGGTTCGGCCGTCGGTCTCCGTGCGCTAGGCAATTGGGTTCGCGCGCAGCCCGCCCGACCTCCGACGCCGCTGGCGCGTCCGCCGGCGGCCGCGACTCAAAAGTGACCCCACCAGCCCATCCAGAAACGATGCCCAAAGGAGATGCCTCGATCAGGGAAGTGGGCAGCACGCAGAGGAAGGGTCCCCCAGTGGAGGCCTCTTGGAGCGTCTTGGGGGCCTCTTGGCGGTCCCGGAAGCCTCTTGGAGCGTCTTGGGTGCCTCGGGGAGCTTCTTGGGGCCTCTTGGGGGTCTCTTGAGCGCCTCTTGGCCTCTTGGGCGCCTCTGGGGGCCTCTTGGAGCCCTCTTGAAACGCTCTTGGGAGCGCTCTTGGGGCCAATTTGGAGGACGTCGATCAAACACAGAGGGAGCTTCAATTAGCGGTGCCCCCCGAAGAGGCCAAAATGGGGCCAAAGTCTGAGTAACACCGATGATTTTGGCATCCTCGCCGAGGCCGTTTTGGACGCCCTGACACCTCGCGACCAGTCCCGTCCAGGTCCAGGGGAAGGGGTATGGGGGAGGGGTCAAGCTACCAACCCGCCCGCAAGCCGTCTAGCTACCCCCCGCCCGCCCTCCCAACACATAAGTAACTCCCGAGCTTGAGCATGTTCAGCGGTTGTTGGGCGAGGTGCGCCACGCGTGCTAGGGGCGCCACGCGCGCCAGGCACCCCTGGGGCCCGCGCGTGCCAGGCACGCCTGGTGCGCCAAATACGCCACGTGCTCCGAGTGCGCCAGGTGTGCCGCACACCCCAGCCGCGCCAGGTGCGCCGCGTTCGGGGCACTTGCAAAGTGCGCCAGGTGCGCCTGCGCACGTGACAGCACACATCGGGAAACATGTCGGCTCCCGCCATCCTTGTCGAATACCAATGCTCATCATTGTGTCTTGTGGACCTGCGCACAGCAGGCCACTTGCCACCACCCCCTCCGTCCTTGTCAAAAACCACTTGACAGTGATCGCGGGATGGCCGCGCACGTGCCAGATCTGGCCGCGAGGTGCATTTTTTGGGGTCCGAGATGGTAGCCTTGCGCGCAGCAGGGAATATGCTGACACCCCCGCCGTCCCTGTCAAAAACAATACAGTGTTCGCGGGCTTCACGAACATGGTTCAAGTCTTTGCCCCACAGTGTATTTTGCATTGTTTTTTGAAAGGGGTGGTGGGGGGGGGCGCATCGGGTTGGCCGCGCATGCTCCGAAAGTAAAGGCAGAGTGCGATTTGTATTGTTCTTTGACAGGGATGGTGGGGAGCGGGTCGGCATGGTGCCGGCATGGTGTCGGCATGGTGTCGGGTTGGCCCTTGGTCGCTTGGGGGTGGGGGTGTATACTGATAAGGAACAATGATCAAGCTGCCCACCCGCCCGCAAGCCGTCTAGTTCACTTCCACCCGCCCTCCCAACACATTAGTAACACCCGAGCCTGGGCATGTTCAGCGGTCGTCTTTGGATAAACAGCTACTGGGAACCGAAGCCGGCCCCAGGTGCGCGACGCTTGGGCGAGGTGCGCCACTCGTGCTAGGGGCGCCACGCGCGCCAGGCCCCCCTGGGGCCCGAGCGTGCCGGGCACGCATGGTGCGCCAAATGCGCCACGTGCTCCGAGTGCGCCAGATGTGCCGCACACTGCAGCCGCGCCAGGTGCGCCGCGTTCGGGGCACGTGCAGAGTGCCTCAGGTGCGCCTGCGCACGTGACAGCACACATCGGGAAACATGTCGGCTCCCACCATCCTTGTCGAAAACCAATGCTCATCATTGTGTCCTGTGGGCCTGCGCACAGCAGGCCACGCGCCACCACCCCCGCCGTCCCTGTCAAAAACCATTCGACGGTGATGGCAGGATGGCCGTGCATGATCCAGATCCAGCCGCGAGGTGCATGTTGTATTGTTTTTGTCCTGGATGGTAGCCCTGCGCACGGCAGGGAATATGCTGGCCCCCCCGCTGTCCCTGTCAAAAACGCTACAGAGTGTTCGCGGGCCTCACGAACGTGATTCAAGACTTTGCCCCACAGTGTACGTTGCATTGTTTTTTGAAAGGGATGGGGGTGGGGGTGGCCGCGTCGGGTTGGCCGCACATGCTCCGAAAGTGGAGGCAGAGTGCGATTTGCATGGTTTTTTTGACAGGGATGGTGGTGGGCGGGCCGTCATGGTGTCCTTATGGTTCCTGGTTGGACGCCGGTGGCCTGGGGGAGGGGGTGTATATTAATAAGGAACGGTGATAAACCCTTCCCCGAAGGGGAAGAGGGGCAGATCTACGCCCTAAAGGGCTGGTGGGATTCAAGTTCGCAGGAAGTCCTGGGCAACAGCGCGATTGTGAAATCAGGCTCATAGTTTTGTTTCGAAGGAATTCTTGGACGGGAGCGCCATTTCGAAATCGAGCCAGAAATATTTCGAGTGCTAGTTTGGAGAAAGTCCTTCGGCGGGAGCGCCATTTCGAAATCGAGCCCGGAAGTTTCGAACTCGTTCGAAATTCTTCCTTTGAGGAAGTCTTTTAGCAAATCCGTCGTATCGAAATGGCCACACCGCTTGGCAGTTAACGTTTTACATGTCTGACCAATTATTTAGAACATGTTGTTTTTTCTTGAGACTTCCTCCCATAAATGATCTCGACTGGATTTCGAAACCATCGGGTTCGAATTCGAAAGGGCGGTTCCGCCCGAGACTTGAGCAACACAATGCTTGAACAGAACATTGTACCGTGGCCCTGCGGCCTGAGGGCCACCTTTGCCTCCTCTTGCCGCGGGCGCAACGCCACTGACGACGTTGTACTGAAGCCCCGTCGCATAACGGGAGGCGCTGCATGTTGGCCGAATTTCGTAGCGGCGAAGTAGCCTGGGGAAGGACCCAACCATATGCACCTGCGAATCATGGAGGGTATGAAACCCTCCTCGTATGTAGCGCGCCGCGGGAAGGGAAGTGCACGGGAAATGCAGATGGCGCCGCGAAGCGTGTGAGGGGTGTGCCGAAACATTGGCTGGGTGACGCGTGCGAACCTGGCCACAGGAGCCTTCGGTGGAGCTCCCTATGGGGCCAAACAGTGTGAGTGGTGTGCCGAAATATGGGCTGGGGGACGCGTGCGAACCCTGCCAGAGGAGCCTTTGTCGGAGCTGCCTAGGGGGCCACGAACCGTTGGAGGGGTGTGCTGGATTGGGCTGAGGGGCGCATGCGAACGCTGCCACAGGAGCCGTCGGTAGAGCCCCCTATGGGGCCACGAACCGTTGGAGAGGTGTGCCGAAGTTGGCCCGGGGACGTATGCGAGCTCTGCCGCAGGAGCCTTCGGTGGGGCTCCTTATTGGAGCCGCGAAGCGTATGAGAGGTGTGCCGACATGGGCTGGGGGACGCATGCGAACGCTGCCGCAGGAGCTTTCGGTGGAGCACCCA